CCTTTATACATTCTAGACAATTTCTCTGGTGACATATGCCAATGGTACATCATTTTATAAACATTCTCTTTAAGATTAGAACATAATATAAATTTCAATCCTTTCAACCACATTTTTCCCATTGTTCCACCTGTATATTATAACCAAAATTTTAGCCCACTTTATTATACATTCTTTCACTTGTTCTCTTTCAAATTTCAGTAAAAGTTTGTACATTTTAGCAATTACATATTCATCATTTGTACACAGTTCTATTTCAAACTCAGTTTTAACAATGTTCAGAACCATGAACTCTTTTGTCTATTTTAAATCTTTCTAATAACTGTAAATAAGAAAACCACTGGCAACTATATTTAGTGAACTTATCACAGAAATTCTTCCCAGGAATGACATTTGTAGTTTCTCCCATCTTAACATGTCTTTTTAAACTTCATTCCATATCTTAACATAATTACTTGATATAACTTACAATTCATATTTGTCATAGTGATACCCAGATATTTTACTTTAATCTAAAAACCCATTTTATTCATCAGTTCTGTTTGATCTTCTATTTTAGTGTTTTTTGTTAACATCTTCATTTTTATTTCCATTTCTCTTACTGTTAACAGAGATAATTATTGTAAAAACTTAATCTGTTGAGAAATACTTATCTTCTCTGGAAATTTCTTTAATCCTTTATCTCATCCAAAATAGCTTGTATTTTCTTGACTCTTCTTTTTGAGTTCACTATTACGTTGTATAAAATAACCTCTAATAAAAGCTTTACTTGCATCCCAAACCATTCTTAAATCAGTATCTTTATCTGTATTATTTTCCAAAAAATTCTTTTAATTTCCTTTTGCAATCCTCCACTATTGCTTCTTTCTGTAGCAACATTTCATTTAGTCTCCATCTAAAAGAACTACATTTCCTTTTATAAACCAAACTCACAGGATTATGATCTGAAAAAGTATTTGGTAGTATCTCTTCTTTAGAAACCTTAGTAGCCAAATTCTTTGAAATCCAAATCATGTCTATTATTGAAAAGGATCTATGTCTTTCAGAAAAGTAGGTGTACTCTTGAATTGCCATTTTTCTGTCTCCATATATCAACCAGCCCTAAACTGTCCATCAAATCAAAAAAAACTTTTGATAGTTTGCCTTGAGTGATTTTAATATTTTTCTCAGAAGTTCTATCCAATGTAGGGATATCATTCCAATCCCCCATCAAACATCAATTTTCATAAGAGAAACCTATTAGTCTCTCCATAAGTCCTTTATAGAACTGTACTTCATCCTCATTTGGGGTATAAATTCCCAATATCAAAGTCTTAGTCTCATGCAAATTAACTTCCACCCCAACAAATCTACCATGTTCATCAGCCAATACAAGTTCAGGTTTTTGATGGGGATTGATATACAAAACAACTCCTTTTCTCATTTCTGTTCCTGCTGAAATAAATTCTTCACCCCAATTTTTATAAATCAAATATTTTATGTCCTTTTTTCTAATATGTGTCTCTTGTAGGCAAATTATATCTTGTTTTAATTTTTTCAAATAATGTTTTTTTCGATGGCTGGTATGGGTCTTTCGGGCTGTGTGGCCGTGTTCTTGAAGTTTTGTTTCC